GTTTGATGAAAATTGGAATTACACTACACATGTCGATAATTTTATTTAAATTACGCATAAAATTCGTCGTTTATTAATTGGCATCAATACTTTGATTCAACAAGCGGCTTTCATTTCATTAATTCTAGGTAATAGCTTTGATGGCTTGCGTTCGTTTGCACCATATATTAGTCAGATTACCTCGTAAAATACGGAAGAGATTTTTTTGATCATTAACCGGCAGACACGACTATTGCGAAATAATGGTGGGCTATAAAACGTGGTCTAATTAAGGAGATTTTTAGTATCACTAAATGAAAGATATGAAGCCAGGAAGTAATGTTTTCGATATTTTCTCTAATATGCACCAAACTGTTTCAAACTCTAGATCAGTCTTAATGTATTTTTATAAGTAATTTATTTAAGTTTTACATTTTATAATTTTAGAAACGGTAAAACCGTCACGTAATTTCCAGGTATTTTGGTAGAATACGTCATGACTATGACCCAACCCTGGGTGCACATAGAACAATAATTTTAGTAAAATCTATCTGGAACTGTATTAAGCGTGAACATAGATAATTTCAAAATCATCGCAAGAAAAACGTCGAAACGCATTTTCTAGGTGTCTAAAGATGTGAATTTATTACATCAATTTTGAAAAAAGATTTCAAAATTCTCTTGATGTCTTGAACGTCCTAAATCTACCATGAGCAGAATCTTTTAAACGACTACTACAAAGCGGTTTGAAGTAGGTACAATTTCGGCAAATCGTTAGTGTGATTGAATATAAGAAATTCAGCCAAATCCGTTTTTTTACCTGATGAGGTCAGTGGCCTGCGTAACCCTATTCTAACTAATATTTCTTCAATACATATACCAGCTTAACTGAAATTTCAGTCGTAATGTGGCCCCTCTACTCGATAATGGGTCCAAGTAGTGTCGGAACAGAGCACTCACAAAGAGGTTGTGATAGGTCTAGACTCGTTTTACAGTACGGCGGGGTCAAAACTTCAATCGTTTATATCTCGAGAACGAGATGTCGGAATTAACTTCTGTTTTAAATTCATGAGATCGTTACTGTAATTGACCTACCCCAAGTAAAAAATTTAACTAATATGTTTTTAATTGCGAACCTTTTATGAAAGGGGGTGGTGTTATTTTATTCATCTCTGGAATCTGTCTTGCGTATTTATTTGGATCTAAGGTCGTATGGTTACGATACTATCCTGAATTTCTCAACATGCACAAGTGGAGAAATGACAATAGCAAAATAGCAGGTGTTTCTTAGGTACACGCAGTGGGGATGGGCAAGTCCAATTTAGGGGTGCTTGAACGCTAACTATTCAGTTGCCCAAGAAAGTAAATACCATCAAATCAGGGGTTGGAAAATTGTGGTGACTCATGAATTTGAAAGAACTATTAACAACGAAAGATGTGCACTCTTGTAGCTTGGAAATGATGTAGTATTTAAGAAATTTTATTGACATGACACTAATACCAAAGAGTAACTATAATACTCTTTGCTAATACTATAGTTTTGGGCTCTAACACTAACGGTTTTGTGCATCTTTCGTTTCTGGGAAATTCAAAATTTTTAGAGGGGGTACCAACTTACCGCAGCACCCCTGAAGATCGGAACGACTTGAAAGGTATATACAAAAAAATAATATTCATGATGATTTCTATGAAACGGTCCAATCACAGTCTCGCCTCACTCCGATAACAGAGCACATTTATCTTGCATCTCATCAGAGACGATAACGGATGTGCTCATCTATTAATAAAGTAACGGAGTATAGAAAATATTTTGACCGTCGAGAACATTGTGGGACTGCAGGCCAAAATTTTAAATGTAGATATCTCTCGAGAACGGTGTGTCCCTCACAAAGGGAAATTTGTATATCTCGCCAAGATGAAATCGTCGGTGGGGCCAAAACTTCAAATACATATGTACAGATATCCAAAGATTTTAATAGTTCAAGTATTTGGACCAAATTTGGACTAAATATTCGAATAATAAAATAAACTCCAGCACTAGTGGGAAACACTTCCACAATGAGGATGCCAATGGATAGAAGCCTGTATAATACGAGATAAAGGCAATGAGAAATTAAGTACAAATACTAAAATAAAGAATTTTAATAAGTATATGTTTGGAAGCAAGCAATAATTGAAAACAAACATGAAGTTGGAGTTGGTGTTGTTGGGATTATTGATCAGTGCGTAAATCAGCATGATAGTGTGTATAGCATTAAGGTGAACCCCTAACTGAACTTTTTATTCCGGAACGACTCACACTGACGATGACATTGGGGCCCGCAGAGACCTGGAATACGTAACCCTCACGCACAATAAGTGCCAGGGCTCTCCTCCATACATCAAACACACTGTATCTCTATGTGAAAGACCACGTATTCTCCCGTTTCCACAATGAACAAGGCAAACAGGAGTCTTCCAATGCGATGGGCTCGCACGGACTAGGCGCGGAATACTTATACCCCGATCTGGGGGCTCGACGAATCCCCCCATAAGATAAGGAGCCTTACATTGCTCCTTTTTACTTATCCTAAGCCAACTTTACGTTTGACACTTTTGTTTGGGGTTGAGATTAGGTATTTATTGTATCTATGAATGTGGGAAAGAAACATGTGATGTATTAAGACGAAACAAAGACTCTATTAAGTGGTTACATTTTCTAGATATAAAAAAGATTACATTTACTAAACTATTCACCGCCCTTTTGTTGTTCCGATCACTACCGATGTGGTGGTCTGCTGAGTGCCTTAAGTTCTCATGTAATTTTTTGCTTTAGGAGGGAAGATAAACTTTCAGCAAGTGTTTCGCTTGTAACTTTAGACAGGTCTAGTTGTTTCAATTCTCTGCGTATGATTCTAATTTAATTCCCCCCATTATAATTATACAAATGTTCTTGAGACAATCTTCCAGCTCTGTAGTTTGCCCACATATCAATGTGGAGACAAAAACGACAAAGTACCTCTTTTCTGATGTGCGTTCCATATTGTACTTCCAAATAAAGAATACACTGGGACGATTCTATAATTAGAGAAAAACCCGTACTTTTCTAAAATAGCACCCACCAATATTCGTTTAGCCTTCCACCATTCTCTTCTTCCTAAAGAGTTGATATAGCATAAATTTTATAACGAGACATTGTACAAAATGAAGTGTACAGTGAAATTGTATAGGTACCGCCAAATTATTGTGTTAATTACAGGCACTTACATAAACGTTAATCTTTCTAAACGGTTAGGTATTACGTAGTGGTTTTTATGACTATTGATTCGTGGTTTGATTATAAGTGCTTGCATTTAATCGGGAAATCTTTTCCGCCTTTTTAGTTTCAAATTGATGGATTAGTTAATAACATACCTCCATAATACGAGGTATATTTATTACTTGTTTGAAGTTTTAATTTTGTCTACGAATTCTATGAAAACGTGCCACTATATTTTACAGAACTCATTATTGTACACTTTGTTTCGTAAGTTGTGTGAAAAGAATAGCCATTAATCATTGTTATGGTTATACTTCGAGAACACAATTCCTATAGGCAGGACTCTTACTGAAGGCAAAGAATCTCAAAATGTAATTGCTTTTGAGCGTTTTATATTCATATTTGACGACCCCGAGGTTAAATTCAAAACGTACGGTTTGAATAAATGGAAAAAATTGTAGGTAGGTATCGACGATTCTTAATTACTCAGCAGTCGGTTTTCAATTAAATAATAATTAAATGTTTGTACACTCTAAGATTGAAAGCGTAAAAATTTCGTACCTTCCGTTTTCTGTTAAACATCACAAACAATACTTATACAATTTTTTATACAGTCATGTGCTATTCATTCAAAATCTAATTTGATTTATTTACTTTGTGAGTTGTGACTATGTGTCATTTGTTAAAAGAATGCATGTTGACAATGAAGCCTCATTAAATAAATTGGATTAAGATTCCGCTAAACTCCACAGACCCACGTTGAGAAAATCGAGCAATGGAATTGAAATTAAAAACCGTAGCACGATTTTGTATAGGGATGGAAGGGCCATAATCTGACTTTACCGTCAATAAACTGTCATTCGTGGAACAGTTGTTGGGCCATTGTTAGGAATCCGTTGAGTTTGAAAATCATTCATTAATCGATTGCCAAAAATTGCACTAGTTCTGCACGGCCACTACTTGGTATGCAGTTAGCTCTTGCGACACAGTTTAGCAGTATATTACCTATATAAAGATGTGTTGATCGTGTCCTGCCACATTCATGAAGCCTTTACTTTCTGGAAGAGGCAAATAGTGACAGATTCGGTGTTCGTGGTGGCCAGAGTAACTATAATACTCTTTGGTGGTGGCATTTGGAGACACTTAATTCTTGTCTTGTCTTAATCTCCAGCATGGAGTATTTCAACCGAGATGTGGACAAGGTTAACTTAATTTGGCTAAAATTTGTCTCATTCAAACAAAAAACCAACGCATATTTATGGTTTCGACATACTAAGGTCTGCCGCGCGTATTTCTGACGTTATCTTGGATCAAAAATCCTAGACAACACCTTCCACGGTCTCTTAGACTTAGATCATAAAATGTGAGAGAAGACATTCTGCATTCACGCATCATTTGCAAATTAATCTATTACATTCGCCCTGCCGCTTTTGCTTATGGCTTATGGTCTTCAATTAAAAAAAACTGGTCGTCCAGTTTCATTAACGTAGTGGTTTTCGCATCGGTCTGCATAATTTCCGGTAAATCGGGTTAATATTTAATAAACGATAAATTGTTGGATCGTGATTTAAACGTGAGAACTGTAAATTATATATATTGCTATTATATTATTTCTTAAATCAATATTGGCGTATGGAATGCGTTCTCGAATATATTAATGCCAGCGTGTAGGTATATACGTCTACGTTTATTTTTACTGAACTTTTTCAAAAGGCGCATTATGGTACTCATGCAAGGAGGCAATTATCTTCAATCAAAAGGTAATTATTATATTTTGTTTTAGGATGGCAGTACCGGTCAGGCAATTTTAGATGTGGTGTTCAGGCACTTAAATCTTTTGGAAACTGCGTACTTCGGTTTGCGTTACCTAGATGTTGATGGCCAACCGGTAAGTTAGTGGATAGTTAAAGGAAAATTAATTAGCGAGGGTTATGTTGTAGCACTGGTTGGATCCTGTGAAAAAATTGCGACGTCAACTCAGAGGCGAGGATCCTTGCAAGTTATACTTCGGCGTCAAATTCTATGCTGCCGACCCCTGTAAACTGCTGGAAGAAATCACACGGTAATTATGAAATATGCTAATATCGTCTGGCGGCAGCCCCCATCATATGGCCTAGCTCGAGGCAGTTTAAGACTATCATTACCTTAGCCAAAACAAAACTACCAATTACTCTTCCCTTATGCATGCGCGACCGCCTCGCTTCGGGCATCTGATAAATCGGTTTCATTTTTGAAAGGATTTACTTTCAGTGTATACACGCTATGGGATTTCACAGAAAATGTAATAATGATGCGTTTGTGCACACTTTGTGATGAATAAATCCTTCATAATTCAACGTCTGTTATTCATCAGAAGTAGGTATTCGAGATTATGGCTTATCCATAACCACTCGGTATTAAAAAAATGATTGACAAAAATCATTTTTAAGGGACCACAGCGTTTGAATGTTCAACTGAACCACGAAAGCTATAGTGTGACGTGTAACCTATCACTTTTACTGGATGTTCGAAACGCAAAAGTAAATAATCGAGTCAGGTAGGTAAGGGTCGAAGCATAAGATATACACAGGAAAATTCCAATTTCCACTGAAGTTTTTTTCAAAATAAAGGTCACTGAGGAAATAATCAAACAAGAATAAGTCGAGAAAGAAACGCATTTTGGAACTTTTAGCGGATTGAAATGTTTTGAACTCTTGGCTTGTTTGGATGAATTTTTATTCGAATTCATTTTGAAATCATGGGTACAAAAAAAGAAAAAAGTTGCGAAATAACAATTATGTAGCGTATACTGTCCAAATAAGGACCGAATTGTAAAAACAAAAGAGAAATACTGGGAATTAAGACCCCTATGGATTGAAATAAAATTCCTGAAAGGAGTATGTTACGTTACGAGATTTGCATAGCGAAATAAAACAGATTTATTGAAAGAAAAGACGAATTTAACATAAATGAAGAGTCTAATCACTAATGGTTATAGATTAATGAGATGTTTATTGTTATGCATAAATTCACATCCGCCCTTCAGTGTTTATGTTTTATAGTTATTATAATTGGGAAAATTATATTTACTCTAAGTTTAAGTATATAGATAAACTGATATGATTTTTTATGTAGTGGAGTGAGGGGTAGGATAATGTGTGGGAATTTTTCCAAGTGCGTGTTGGCGCTGATTATATGGGAAACGAATGCGAATAGATGTTTGAAAAGTTTTTAGGCATGGAAAATAGTATCATTCATATAACCCCCTCTACTTTGCTGGCATTGCAAAACTCTCTTCTTCACAAACTTGCATTTCTGTTTCTTCGATGAATGTGTTCCTTTAATTCGTGGATGTTTCTGGGTGTATTGACGTAAACTAACGATGTGAGATAACCTCAAAGAAAGAAATGGCATGGCCATTGCTGGTCACCATGAATGGAGATGCAAGAGATGAGCCGATCCGGGAATTTCTCACGGAGCAACGCAGTTGTTGCAGCGGAGGTGTGACACGTGGCGCCATCTTGCAGAAACTGCTTAATGTCCTTTGTATCGAAACAAGGCCACAAAAAATCATCGTACGGTACAGGTCTCAGTTAACTGTCACAGATTATCCTGCCTCATTTTCAAAAAAATAAGGGCCGATGACACCCGCCCAAAATCCACACCAAACCGCTACTCGCTGTGGATGCATTTCCCTTTCATTAATCAAATAGGGATTTTCTGATTTCCAAATACGGGCAGAAATGTGCCTTCACTAAAGATAATTTTTTTCGTAAAGGTCTTCCTGTTGTCTCCTCAGAACCCAGTCAATAAAATTGCGTCTCTTCTGATGATCGGGTGCTTTCAATTCCTGGGTTAATTGAATTTTGTAGAGGTGGTAATGAAGATCGTTCAAAAGAATTCGCTGCAATGAAGAATAGCGTATGCCCAATTTTTGGGAACGGCGTCGAATCCGTTTCTGTTGACTAATATTGACATTGCATCGAACCTACGCAAAGTTTTCATCACATCGGCAGTTAGAACCAAATAGTGTTTGAAGCTGGTGGTTCCCTAAGTCCACTCTCGTTCTTCACTTCGCCGAATGCACACAACGTTAACACTTTGGTCCATTTCGCCGACTAGGGGCACTAGGCCGACAGTGCCCACATCGTCGACAAGTATACAAGGAACACAGGGTCGACAATACCCACTTCACCGATGGACGCTAAGGCAAACGTGACCACAACGCCGACTATTCGAAAAAAATTTAACAGCGACACAACGTGGTCGCCTGTCACACTCCGCCCAGCTTCGTTAAGAATTTTTGTACGAATTTGCACTTTAAAACAAGTTAAAGAATGAAGGAGAGTAACTTTAGGGCATTTTCCACGAATTGATCAGTACACAGGCTGCGCATGCACATACGTGATGTTAAAATATGCGATATGTTAGTCTTTACTAGACGAAACTTAGGTTACAATTAAAAAAATATCTCCACAAATAATAAAGAGCACATTGCGCAGTTTGCCCATGCGCACATGCGATACGTTTGTCTGTTGAAAACCGTTCCACGATAACACAGGATTAAATAAATGTCAATTTTAAACAAAACACTGTTGCCTAGCAACAGAGAAATACATGGCGAGCGAGTCAAAACCGGGGCGATTTTTGAATCTCCCTTTACATCTAGGTTATTCAATAATTGACAGTTTCCGTTAATAACAAAAAAACTGACCACGAATTCGGCCCGGTGTCTTCGAAATTCGGAATTCAGCGACCCAAAAAACACAATACAGGCCCATGGTGCCCGGACTAAAAAGGGCGGACGGAGGTGGTGACCGTCAATTGCATCTACCCATTTGAACTACTTCAATAGGTTGACGGTTTTTTTAAATCGAACATCGGGAAATAACATTGCATACATAGTAAGTTGTTTGTAAATAGTTCCTTCGTTAATGAAGCGTTAATGACATGTACGCAAATGGCACTCGTTTAGCACTTGGTACTTGACCAACCCTACCTTGTACGCTAATAGCACTAAATATCAATAATCAAATAAACATCAAATATGAACACTGTTTGGGAATATTATTATGCATCCTTAGATGAGTGTGCAACAAAAATTCCGATTTTCACGAAATTTCGTATCTGGGTGTTCTTAAATATCTTGTTAAAAACTAATTTTGGAAAAATTTGAACTGCATCGTCGATTGTTTCGGTAGTCTTGCGCAACTTTCTTTACTTGACACAATAATAAGTAAGAATATAATCTGGCTCATATTCAATAGCACTGATCCTTGAACACGTAGAAATCGATTGGTGACAGACGAACGGACGGACAAAACCATCACTTTTTTCGAAAATTAGTCTAATCGCAAGGTGGGAAACAAACTTCTCAACGCGAATGGACAAAAAAAGATCGACGAAGATGTGATAGACGCAATAACCAATAAGGAACCAGAAAAAAAAGAAAGTGGATATGACAGGCGTAGTGGAGATGCATAATAACCTAGGAAAAGCAGCGCAGGAAGTGCTTATAACAGTGTTTAATAAAGCCTGGAACAACGGGAAAATTCCATATGACTGGAAAGTAGTAATCATTCCCGTATTTAAAAAAGAGATCCTAAACTATGCAAAAACTACAGAGAGAGAACAGCTAAGAAAATGAGAAATGAAAATAAATAAGAACTAAGATAATGCAAGTGGGAGAGCAACCAAAGATAAAGTTAAACCAAGCACGTGTAGAACAAACAGAAACGTTTAAATACCTTGCAGTAGGGATAGAAAAAGAGGGTAACAAGGGAAAAGAAATTAACGAAAGGTTACAAAACATCACCAAATTCTACTACCGCCCAAGCAATACATTTGTATGGAAGAAAGAAATCGGCAGGAAAACCAAAATGACAATTCATAAGACAATTTTAGGCTAAGTGCCTGAATACACTATGCGTTTTAACCGGTCCCGTTTGACCGGACCGTTTTGAACGGATGACTGCATCCAATGGATTTAAATGCGAGCGTTTACACTTATCCGGTTGCGTTCCGGTCGCCGCAAGTAATGTAAACGCACAAAACCTTCCGGTTTCGCAAGATGCGTTTTGAAAGAATGCGTTTAAAACGCATAGTGTATTCAGGCACTAATAGGCACTTAACATATGGAAGCGAACGCGGGGTATTAAAACGCTACATAGAGTAAGTTACAAGGCATGATAAATGATACTTATACGAGGATTGAAAGGGAATCAACAAGATCCACGTAGGACACGAAATGAAACTGTGAAGAAGGAAAGAATTAGGGTAGAAGGTATAAAGGAATTAGTCGAAAGAGAGTAGTGAGGAAGGTTTTGACAAAGAATGAGAAATAAAAAAACCAGTAAAACAAGTTTGGCAAGCAAAGATACATTAAGCAAAGGATGGACAAATTACTTCTAATCGAAAACTAACGAATCGTTGTACATTTGACGTAGATGGTGCAATCATGATTGCAAGCTTCATAAATCTGAAGTAATGATTGTTTTAGAGTTTGAGAGTTTTTAGACATTGAGATTAGTCATTGATAAGTTTACTACGTCACAACGTATTACTATGTGACTACGTATACTCTATTTTAAACTCTCTTTTCTGTTCTTATCTTCATGGTTAACAAAAATTGGAGACGACGCTTTGAAGTCATTGTTGCATACGGTATTATTTCTCTATAATTATAATAATAAGTAATAACATTTTACATCTTATTTATTGTAATTTTATGCTTTATCAACAGATACAAGCAAAGGATAAATAATTGGGAACTGAATTGCATAAGATGGCCTGAGGGACTGCAGGTGAATGAGCAATCTCGTTATACTTCTTTATGAGAAGCACTAATCTCCCTGTATCATCCACTCATCGTTCCCGCGACGGTATTTAAATTGAGTTTCTATAAAATGGTCTTAAATAATCTATATAGGCGCTTGTTAGATGTTGATGAAAAAACCAGGAACTACAAAATACAGGGAAGTACTTCCAACACAAGAACCGAAAGTAACATCAAACTGAATGAATAATATAAAGTGCTAATTATTACTCGAGTCTTTGTGTACAAAATCCCCGTTTATTCTTTCA